ATACAGAATCTCTTATGGCACCATTTTTGTGAATTAAAAAACCAGTACGAATAGATCAGACATGAACATTTAAAGAAGTAGTTACTTTAAAGATTTAGGTCGCTCTCAGGCTCAGGGCTGCTATTAGACTCCACCGGCCCCGGATATAGGTATTTGGTTACCGGGAGAACATTTCAATAATTTTTATACACGTAGGTACATAAATTTTCATAATTTATTTTACCCAATATCGCCCTGAAACCTTCATTTTCATGCCCAGTTTCTGTCAGGAAATTTTAGCTTCCATGACAGGGGCAGAGCAGACTACGTTTCCTGCCGCTTGTCACTTTACTGGCCGCACCTGTCACTTTACCGGCCGCACCTGTCACTTTACCGGCCCATTTTCGACATTTCTAAACTCCTGTCATCACTGACAGATTGACATTAATTAAAAGTTCTATATAAAAATTGAAATTTTATATTAAAATAGGAAAATAGGTAGATACTATTGAAAATTAGGTTTGATGGTAAGAACTGTAAGAAATAGGTGGGTAGTTTAAATTTGGCAGAGTTTCGTATTTTGATGCTGAACAAAATACAGTTTTGAAACTGAAAAAATTCCGACTACTTTTGGAGACATCCGGACAAAAAAATTTTGCAAAATCGGTTACAGGTATTTCCAAAGGCGACTCATTTTTGATCGCATAGTATAACAGTAGGAATCATATTTTTGGGTTCATTCTGCAATTCATTCAATAATTTTTGCATGAGAAAATGCGTTTTTCTTCAGTAACCACTTGCGGCGGCTTCATGTTCCTCTTCGTCTACTATACTATACAAACCGACTACAGCAGCACTTCCGCCATGGCGTTTTAATGAAAGTAAGTACTGTACAGGGTGGTCCCAGGTTAAATGGGGACAAAGTTGTCCCTTTTTGTGACTAATAAAACCCATTTGAAATTTTTGAAAGATAACTGAGATATCACTGAAAAACTGAAAATGTCAAATTTTGTTTTTATTTTACCTAGCTAAAATGGCCGGAAGTAGACGATTCCCGTTGGGACCCTTTATGAGCACTTTTTTTTTGGAGAATCTGAATCTGTGATCAGAATTTCCATATCACACTAGATCTAGAAGATACAGGGCTACTACTTTCTTACCCCCCCCCCCCTCCCCTTTGTTGATAAGGTGTCAAAAAGAAGGGCGGTAGTTGGTGGAAGATAGTTGTTTGGTTGACACCTCTGTAATTAAAATTCCATGAAAGATTAAATTAATTTTTAAAATATTCAGCTAATAATGCTTTCCAAAATTCAAGTTCTGTTGAATCACAGTGAATCATTCTTCAACACCAATCTTCAACTTCAATCTTCAAAGTCTATACCACATTCACATATAATTTCAAACATTTCCAAGATTGGGCTACTAGTTCAAAAGTTACAGCCCTTTGAATTTTTTTTCGAAATTATTTTCTAGTCTATAACTTTTGATTGAGAAGTCTGATCGAAAAAGTACGAATTGTTTTGGATTCTACGCACCAAAATTAATAAGAAAAAAGTGTTTTCCCGAGAAATTTTGGTGCAGCCGATTTTTGGAAAAAAGGAAGGTTGTACACTGCCTTTTTTTTTGCCCCGAAAAAAAATTGTCTCAGATCGACCCGGAAAATAAATTAGTTTCAAGTACAAATTTTAAACTAATTGCTAAATTTTCCAAAAAAATGTAGGTACAATCCTGTTTCGAAATTTGTACTACAACGATTTTTTGTGCATCTTTCAGCCATCCAAATTTTGAATTTTAGCTATCAAGGGTTTCAAATGAAATTATTTCTCGTACAGAGTGTCGCTTTGTTGTTCCATTTAAATGTTGACAATCATTATTTTTCAAATTAAATTTCGTTTTAAAATCGAAGTTTGAATGATTTAACTGTTCTTCAAAAATGGAACCTTTCAAATTTTCGGAGATAATCTTCGTGGAGATTTTGGAGAAAATCCAAGCTTGCAGATGGTTTGTAGTGAACTTGAGAGTTATACAAAATTTTTACCTAAAATCGTCACCCACGAAAAACAAATACTGAATTATACTTACTTCAAATTTGTTGTCTATTCACTGAAGTATATTTTAAAAAAAAGGTAAAGTCCAGACTTCCAGGTTACAACCATTCATTAACCTATTAATGTGAATGTGTTAATCAATGGCAACTTGGCATTGTAAATTAAAACTAAAATTATAAAAAAAATGTTTGTAATAGCTTCCCACCATTAAGATCTTAACAAAGTGCGTGTTTTCCAGCTCCTAGAAGATCAATGGAAAATGGTCAACGATCTATTTTAATGCGAGTTTATATGCTCAACCAATTTCCCATGAATTCAAAATGACGTACTGTCCGCATATTAGATCTTGTTGTAAATTTAATTTCTCTGTGCACTTCCGTCCTTCCCTTATGCTATCAAAAGTTTGACTTACGAGCCCGGAGCCCTATTCACTTTTAATCTGTTTTCCAGTTCAGTAAAATATGAAAAATTAAAGTCTGCCGTTCTGATATAAATAGTCGAATTCACACAATTTTTGTTCGTGGTAGCTTAGTCTCCACAACGTCGCGATTGAGGGGGCTGGGACACCCTCGAGCTCCATTAAGCCAAAACAAACATTTCTTTATTGATATAATTGGATTGCTCCTATGGTACATTTCTATAATTCAGATTTGTTGCTCACCAGTGAGCAACACACATCATTCCATATGATGCTCAAGAAGAAATATAAGGTGTGGTTGACTAAGGACCTGCTAATTAATCGAATGGAGAAAGGTATAAGTTGTTTTGCCAACAGTGCCGTTTTTAGGCATGGGCCACCTGGGCCCAAGTTTGTGTGAATGAAAAAATTTTAGTGCAAAATCTGCCGCCTTAAAGTAAATGCTGATTTAAACAAAATTAATGCATAGAGTAAGGGATACCGGAAATTCTAAAATCCTGTAGATCTTGTATACAGGGTGGTGACTTGCGTAGTACATCATAGGGATTTCAATGTAAAATTCATAACATGTGATTATTGGCTCCCCAAATTAATTTAGAGCAAAAATGTATTAAGGTTTTTGTAGAAATTATAATTTTTTACGTCAATCAACCGTATTAGTTTTCCATTTTTTGCATAATAAAGACGGAAAATTGGAAAAGTAAAACCCCCAATCTTTTTCAGTAATCTGTCATGCCATGGAATGTCTGCATAAAACAAATGGAATTCTATCAAAAAGTCGATCATAATAGTATATTAAGTATGGAGAACGGTAAGGGATTTTTACCGTTCGAAGACAATTGTTTGGAGGAGGAGCGAAGCGACGACTCCAATTATTGTCTGAGAACGGTAACCCTTAACGTTCGACGTGCTTATAAATTTTTTTGCGCGATCGAAATTAAAATTATGTAACCAATATAAATATGCACTAAGAAATTAACGAGCAGAATAAATCGAAATGATCGAAGTGGTATGGTGTACATCACTAGGCAACCAGTTTAAATGTCAAAATTGAAATTAATAATTTATAATTTCATAAAAATGTGCATGTGTCTGATGTAGTTTACTAGCTTTGCACTTCCTTTATGACTTTATGAGCGTCTTGCTATAGGAAAAACAGCACAAATTGTACGTTTAATGTACCTAACAGTAATTAAAGATTAAATGTAATGTAAGACTGTTGATTTTTAAAAAGGCGTCGGTAAGTATTTTTGCTGTTCTGTTTTTAGATCGGTAAGTAATTTTGGCGTCGTCGTAATCATAGTAACTGGTCAATTCTACGTACTGTCATGGAAACACCCATGGTAAATAGTCAGAAATGACCGATCGCGCAAAAAATCCATTTCGAACTGCTGCTATTAATTGATAACTGGACATCTTTTTGTTTTAGAAAATTCCATGGCATCGCAGATTATTGAAAAAGATGCGGGTTTTATTTTTCCAATTTCCGTCTTTATATGTAAAAAATTGAAAACTAAGACGGCGTAAAAAATTTTGTCTACAAAAAACTTTAATATACATTTTTGCTCTAAAATAATTTGGGGAGCCAATAATCGCATGTTATGAATTTTACATTGAAATCCCTATGATGATGCGTTACGCAAGTCACCACCCTGTATAAGGTTACCATTTAGAAAGTTAAAAAGTCCTAATAAGTGACAAAAAGCCTAAAGTGGGTAGATATATTACACTGAGGTTTTGCCCATGGGTAAGACAATGACTTTACAGTTCAATAAAATAAAAGTCCGGTCATTTTGGTCACAAAATGCCAACATTGTGCCGTTTTTATTGAGGGTAAGGGGGGCCTCCACGAGCGAATGGCCCAGGGCCCCGAAAAACTTAAAAACGGCACTGTTTGCCAAAATCTGCAAAAATGTTAAAATAACTTAGGTCGTTAGACTTATATTAATAAGAGAATAATTAGGGTAAAAGGCATTCGAATATTTTGGTTGTTGGTTTTATTCATACCATGCTCTATTAATATGTACCTACCTGCAGTAAAAGGAGGTATGTATAGTAATTTTACTTTATTTTGTACTAACTAGCCAATTGAAATAATTGTTAACGTAAAACTTCAGGTGCACGAAGTAAACTGGAAAATTGAAAATACTAGACAAATATAAAAAATTAATTGTTGACGTTTAGTTTAGAATTGACCATGCGAACCTTTTAAATTCATACATTGAAAATAACAAATTTATCATCAATGAGATTAAGAGATAATTACATCAAATTTAAAGTTGAGAGAAAGGTCAAATCAAAACTCACTCCCACGGTGATAGTATGTATACTTAGTAAGTAGATAGTTGTTTTGCAGGGAAACCTTGTAATAATGATAAATACATTCTTGTACAAAGTAATTTTAGCCAACCACAAAAATGCCGCAACCATCAAAAATGACCACTGATGAGATAGGATCGCACTAATTAATTATTTTAACATGCGTTAACATGTCATTTCGAATGCAAATCACTCGTTAATCTTGACCATTACCTAAATTTGTCACCTTTTTGCAGATACGCTTACGACATCTTCAAAACCGGTTACTCGGAAACGCTGGACGTTGAAGATTTATACAATCCTATACCGGCAGACGAGAGCACGCAGGCGGGCAACCGATTAGAAGTGTGAGTATCGCCAGTTTCCGACCTCTCCGAACAAACGTGACAATTCCAGAAAATGGAAGGCGCACCTGGAAGAGACGAGAAAGCGCCGCAAATCGCCGAGCTTGCTCAAAGTTCTTGTGCGGACGTTTTGGCCCGAATACCTACTGCTCGGCGTGGTTCTGGGGGTCAACGATATCGTGCTTCGGTTGCTGCAACCGTTTTTGTTGAGGGAACTACTCGGGTATTTCACATCGGAGGCCACCAAGTCGAAGAGTGAGGCGTACTGGTATGCCACCGCAATTGTTGTGAGCAACCTCGGAATTACCTTTCTTTTGAATCAGTACATTATGGAGGCGTTCCATTTCGCCATGAGAGTGCGTGCTGGTTGCTGCGCTCTGATCTACAGAAAGGTTACCATCAATCCTAAGTCTTTGCAAGCTAGTAACCAGTAAATTTTAGGCTTTGAAGCTAAGCAGAACGGCCTTAGGCGAGTCGGCCGCTGGAAAGGTGGTAAATTTGCTCTCGAACGATGTCAGTCGTTTTGACGTTGCTTCCGTTTTCGTACATCACATGTGGGTCGCACCAACCACAGCCGTAATAGTAATGTACTTATTATGGAAGGAAGCCGATTATTGCGGTCTAATCGGCATGATTCCCATCTTTCTTATTTGCCCATTGCAAAGTAACAATGCCGTTAATTTTTGAACAGAATTCCTAACGCTTCACCCCACAGGTTACACCGGAAAGTTAACGTCCAAGTACAGAAGGCAAACGGCGTACAAAACCGATCAAAGGGTGCGACTCATGGACGAAATCGTCGCGGGTATACAAGTGATTAAAATGTACGCGTGGGAGAAGCCATTCGAGAAAATCATCCATTACGCCAGGAAATCGGAAATAAACGTTATTACGAAAGTGTCCTACCTTAGAGGCGTGTTCATGTCGTTTAATTTGTTTACGACGCGCGTTGCCTTACTGTTTACGCTATTGGCAATGGTTTTGTTGAAACGAGAGATTACAGCGGCTAAAGTAAGTACCTACCTTGACAATATGTAGGTACCAGTTTGGTTGGTGCCCACACGTCAAACTTCCAAACGTAGCACGAATTTGTTAATGAGTGGATCTACTCGGTTTTAGAGCAAAAGAAAAATCTCGCGCAGTTGATACCTTAGCAGATTTTCCTAATAGTTAATATTCGATTCGGTTCAAGTTAGACAAAAAAAACATACATTTGAACAAAGCTTGAAATGGTAGCAGTTTGCTTTTATCATGAGCATCCACAGTTGGTGTGTTATGTGACTGTACAGAACAAACATGTTAGGCACAATTTTAAGTAGTCATATTTCAGGAACTCCTTCCAATAAAAAAATATAGGTACCAATCAAAGTATTTAAGCTACACTATCTATATGTGTGAATATGCCTACCTACTGACACAACCGTAATAAAAACAAATTTAAAAAATGTGCCAAATTCCTGACAGAACAGCTTCCTAGCTCAATTCATAAATAGCGCTTTTAGAAGAGCGTCTTCAAAATCTGATAAGTGTAGGCAAAAACGTTTCCCACGAAAGTTTATTATTTTCCAATGTAGAAATTCAATACAAAGAATAGATAGGTTTCTATTTGAAAAAATGAAGCTGTCCTATACAGTTTCCCAGAACTGGTAGTCCAAAAAAGGTGACACTATACGCCTTCGCGGCTATACCCCAATTCGTTTCGTGTATACAGTTAATAGTCCATGGGCCAGTCGACATGACAGTATAATTTGGGGGTACCAATTTGCCTTTTTACAGTGGTTATACAGATTTATTAGGATGCCAAAAAATCATGATTGCCATCTCAAAGCGGTAGCTAATAGAAATGGCGGCCAATCAAAGATGGCGGATGTAGAGTTTTATAAAGTAAACTATATCTCTGGAATTATTGATCCAATTTCATTAATCTTTTTTTTTAATGAAAGCTCTATATGTACTATAAATATTGTTATTAGTACTTTTTCGATAAAATTAACTGTTAATAAGTAATTAAAAAAAATGTTTTTTTTTTAATTGTTTCCCGAATGTTCTGTACTGCCTGTATTAATACACAATGAATGGTAAAATTATGCGCATATTATGCAGAATATTAGTGAAAAATATGCAAACAGTTTTGATATATATGCACACGTATACAAAATTATATATGTTGCATAATTTCTAATAAAAAAGGAATTACGATAAACACTAGCAATAAGATGTTTCTCTAAGTTTTCTGCACGAAATGATTGTCTCCTGTCGCTAAGAATTAATTTATAAGCACTAAGCAGAGAAACTATACTCTACATCAACTAAAGTAATAGGTGCATTAGAAAAGGACAAACTATTGGGAGCAATTTCCAAACCTTCCACAATATCACCCATCATCACCGTAGAGAAAGAGAAAGATAAAATAGTTTGGAAATGATGAAACTAAACATCAATTAAATCAATAAATCTTCCTTTCGGCTTCTGCAGTATGTTTCATTATCGCGTCCGTTATAAAAATCCGAAAGAATGTATTAAAAATTGAAATTAAAACCGATTAAATCTAACAAAAATTTAAATACATCTTAAAATATGCAATTCTATCATGTAAATGCAAAGGATATCAAAATATGCAAGATACGCAAAAATAAATTCGGTTTATTAAATATTGCAAACCGAAGATACACAAAATCTCATAAGACAACCAAAAGTAAACGATTATTCACAGCTTTAGCTGATCAAACAATTGAATTAAAATAAAAATAATTACTAAATACAAAAATCATTGTAGTTACGTCTATAGATATATTGTAGCTGAAGAGCCATGATCAAATAACAAATGATGATGAAATTGGTATGTGCGGATTATGTTTTTAAACCTTCACTTCTCTACTTTAATTGAACTTGTATCTCAATTTGGACGACACTGGGTTCGTTGTAATTACAGGTGTAAAATTGGCTCTTTAATGGTGAAAAAACTCCCTTTAACGAGTACTGGGAAAACCTTAAAGAAAGGCTTCAGATAAGCGACGCCTGTTCGATAAACACAGCACTTCCACTAACTTCCTCGTAAAACGTGACACACGTTTCCGCTTAACGGTAAACAAGAACTTTACAACTGACAAGACTGACTGTCTTGCAATAAATACGATCAAATACGGCTTTTAGCTATAACATCAGCAAAGAGTTTGTTAATATTGATGGAAAGGTGTATACTGTGCCGATAATTTGACATAAGTAGATTATATAAAACAAAAAATACATTGGAAAATTGTACGTCAAAATCAAAGAGATGCTATTCCGGAAGCAGCAAAAAGATGAAAGATAACCCTAAGTTTGGCTTCCATATCACCTCACGTAGAATTACCAAGCTGGCTCTTGACAACTACCATTATGTAATGCTATAATAACTTAAAGTGTACAAGCGCATGCAAACTGCCAACTTGTGGATACGTCACTGAAGAAAAGGAAGAAGGAGCAGATTTTAGTGTATATGAAACGTTTGAAAGTAACGATGGGGTTAATTTAGTTTTCATTAAATGTTAAGAGTTACAAAAAAATCCGTTCGTTTACTTCATGCATTAGTTACTAATTGTTGATTTTATCGGAAATGTAGTTATGACAATATTGTAGCACACACAAAAGCTTTCATTTAAGAAAATGATGAAGTCGGACCAATAGTTCGAAAGATAGGTATAGTTAATTTTATAAAACTCAACATCCGCCATCTTGGATTGGCCGCCATTTCTATTAGCTACCACTTTGAGATGGCAATTATCGTTTTTTTACATCCTAATGTATGTGTCTAAGTCTAACCGTGGTAAAAAAGAAAATTGGTACCCCAAATTATACCATTTCCTTAAATTTAGCCAGTTGGTCCATAGACTATAAACCCCCATAAATCATTTCTTAAACTGATATAATATTTCACCTTTACGGTGGTAACAATTATATACAATAGTTTTGAAGCAAGAATTTTTGCATATAATATAATTTATAGTATACAGGATGGTGACTTGCGTAACGCATCATAGGGATTTCAATGTAAAATTCATAACATGCGATTATTGGCTCCCCAAATTATCTTAGAGCAGAATTCGCGTCAAAATCAGAGTTTGCATTATGTGTACCTATAACAAATTACTGAATTTCTCCATCTGCTAGCAAGGTCTTCGTTTAGTTCGTCTATAGCACCCAATTTTTTAAAACGTTCAATAAGAACGATGATGGTAATGGTTTCGAAAGTTGTTTGGGTTAAGAGTAAATCTTCTTTTGAGTGGCGCTATTTTGCTGTCCAGCATATTTAGTATTTCTCTTAAAAAGACGTTCAAAACGGAAAGCTACTCTGCTTTTGCTCAAGAAGAGATTTGAGCATTTAATCTACAAAGAAATCCCCAAAATTAGAATTCATTTAATTTATTTTTAGTTTGACATAAATATATTGCACTAATATAGAGTCACTAAACAAACGTTATTGACCACGGCATTGGTACAAGTATCAGCGGCCCCACTGGGCGAGTACCCAGTTGCCCCCTGACACAGTCCGTCCCTGGCATCCCGTACTAAGTAGGCTCTGTACTGCGGCCCTCAACAGTCTTGCGCCCAATTACAAAGTGAGTTGCATTTTAGAGGTGCCCCTTTTACGGTCATTTGCTCGTCCTATCAACTTTAGTCTTTGCTCATGTATGTCTACATCATTTGTTTTTTACTTTGATTCTTATGACCGTTTGCACGATCAAATTTAAGCCGAGTTTATTTATTTATTTTTGACTTCATTTTTGAGTGGGCGGGATTTCATCCACTTCTATCACATGGAGATGCTTTCTCTCTCATATTTTATTTTATTTATTCATTTTATTTTTGCCTTTATTTTTAAGTGGGCGGGGTTTCAGCCAAGGCTGCTCTACCAACCCAACCCACTATACATTGACAAATATCCATGCCCGAACCTGGATACGAACCAGGGACACTTGGTAAACGCAGTCCAGCTTATTATTCATATCGGTTTATCATATTAAGTAAAAAGACCTTTCTACCTGGAAATAATTCCTTAAAAGGAGAAACTTTGCTTACTATAATAAGCTAGAAGTAGAAAGAAACCCAGTAAGCTTTATATGAGTGTGAAGTGACAGAATACACAACAAACTAAAAGCGCTGATGCCATATAGGTATATGCGTCTTTTGAGTAGGTTAGTATCAATGACACATTTAATTGCTACTGTCATTGTCAAAATTAGTAAAGCTTTGTCTCTCTCACACTCATATATAATGCTTCTTGGGTTTCTTTCTAGCTTATCATAAGTCGGACCCGCAATAATTTTTTCCATACCAGTATGTGTAAGTACTAGGAACCAGTAAGAACATACCAAAAATCAACATTCGTTCATTCTGTGCTACGGCCGCCATCTTGAAAAATGGCGGCTGATTCACTTTTGTTATCATATTTCACTAACCGTTGAAAATATAAAAAAATGTCCTCCTCATTATATACCCAACGGACCCAAAAAATGAGAAACTAGTTGACCCGTATGCAGAGGGCCTTAACACACTATACTAATCCTTAATAATAATAATAATATATTAAGTTTCCTTGTTCAACTGCCTAAAATCAAACAAAATTCAAGTTTTGTTAATAATAATAATAATAATATGTAATTGTACTTTATTGACTTAATTTGTTTTGCTCGATAACCGTTGGAGATAAGACAAAAGTTATAAGAACTGAAGAGATGTATTTTGATGTTCTTCAACTTTTCATAAATTTTTTTTGTATTTCCAACGGATAATAAATACGGCAAAAAAGTGAAGATGGCCGCATGAGCGAATTTTGATTTACGTGTTGTTAATGGGCACTAGCCATGTATTCCATTTTAAATATGAGTGGACTTTTTCATGCAATAAACCAACTACGACCAATGGAATCGGTCGCTTAATTACTAAATTTGTAAAACAAAATTTTAGTTAACGTGACATATATTTCTAAAGGGCTAAAATACCTTCCATGTTTCTTTAATTTGTCTTCATGCATTATTATGAGTGAGTGATGAATTATGCTGTAATTTTTATTTTAAAAATAAGTTGTAATAGAGAACTCTTCATTATTCCATTATTTGCAAGATTTACGCATTTACAAAATTTCTAAAATAAAAAAACAACACTGAAATACAAATTCAAATGAAACGAACTAACTCTGTGCTTAATTTGTAAATAGTCCCTCATATTTACTTAACAAATGGAAATAATACCACATACAAGGTGCCCCGTCATTATTTTTGGTGTTTAGACCGAAATAACGTTGACATGACGTTGTTTACACAACATTATGTTAGGTAAACTATACGTAATCAATATTCAAAGTTTTTATTTCGTATTTGTATTGATTTTTGGCGGAGCTACTTATTATTGATGATCTTTTCGTAACTGAAAGGGATCGCTTTTGGCACAGTGGGGACTGTGTTAGGCCCCCACTTGTAAAAAATAATGCTTTGATTAAATTTCATGTAAGTATTCTTTTAAATAAATCTCAAATTTAATTAAATAAATTTGTTTTATTTATGGCGTGTCAAGCGTCGGATGAAAATGTTAAAAGAGCCGCACTTTGCCAACCTCTGTTCAATAATTTACCTAAAGATTTAAAAAAGATATTTTTTCAAATGCGCTGGAACACATCAATTTTATATTGAACTGGGACAGTTTTTATGACAAAACTCATTCATTCATTAATCTTCTGACCACAATCTCTACAATTTTAAATGGTATGTCGGTCAAGTGAAAGGCAATAAGTTGCACAAATACTTAAAAACTAAACTAATAATATCACTAACAATGGTGCATAATTAAAATTAATGATAATGAATGATGATAAGAGAATGATAACATTATTTCAGTAAAGGTCGATTCTCACTTGCGCTGCACTTATCTTGCGTGCGGCATCACGTCGCGTCGCTAAACTGAGTGCAGCGCAAGTGGGAATCGACCTTAATAATCTAAAACGTAGAAAAACTTGGAGGAACAGAAGATGAACCGCACTAGTTACCCTTGATCACTAAAATTGACACATCATTTTTTTCGTGCTTTCATTTTAGTCTCGATTTTAGTTCATCAGAGATACGAGGGCAGTTTGATAAGTGATTTTTTCGCGCAGTGTCTTTAAATGCAGCACTGCTTCCGTCAACTGCCATCTATTGGACCATTGGAGAATAAAACTGCGTGAGGGAGCGGGTAGATCACATTTTCCCCCACGACTTTGTACGCTCAAGATGTATACGGATATATGAGCCTGGTGTGGCACAATTGCGAATCTAAACCATTATTTCTCAACCTTTTCTACAGCCCCCGTAAGGAACAAAAAACTAGCTAGTGCCCCCTATAATAGTCGTTTTTTAATGGTCGTATAGTTGGTCGGTACACTGATACACACTGTTTGGTAATATACTTCTTAGATTCCTTCAAAACTAATATCCCCCCTAGTGTTATGCATGTTTCGGAATCCATTACCAGAATTTTGAGGTGGCCACCATCTTGAATTGTTTTAAATGACTACATGGGTAATTTAATAGTATATTATTTACAAGGGACTAAAGTGTGAGTTTTAATTATGAGGGTGTTGTTACCGAGACGCACTTTAGTTTAGTCCTGTGGTATATACGCTATTTTTTGTACTCCGGTAAGGTACCTACAGCAAATTTCAAAGAAACAAGTTGTAAATCAGCATAGGTATACATGATGAAAGGGCATTTTTGGTAATTCCGATCAGTATTTTATTAGCGAAGTTTAAAATGATCTATCTCACAAGTAATCTAACTCAAAATAGACTAGAGCCTGTACATCTAGACTGTAGCAGAAAGCTTTTAGTGAAAATTTGAAGTTATTATTCACATCGATCACCGGCAAATATTATTCAGAGCTTTTGGACAGATTCGATGTTGATTTGAAGCAGAAACGACCGCATTTGGCGAAGAAAAAAGTGTTCCATTAGGGCAATGCGAAAATCCATAAATTCGGGTACGAACTGCTACCCCATCCAGCATATATTCATCTGATTTAGCGCCCCGACTATTTCCTGTTTATAAACCAGAAGGAATGGTCGGGCGGCAAGGGAAAAGGCAAACCGTATTATTTGGAAGGAATAAAAAAAGATGACTTGCCGAAAAATTCTTTCATTCAAAAAGTCACTGATTTATCAAACTGCCCTCGTATAACGTGGTTTTAAACCCTTAAATAGAATACATTATTAATTATATATGTATAGTGATTACTCAAACATCTTTCCAATCACATAAACAAGACCACGTTTGAATATGAAGTATTTTGAAAAATTATCGATTGTAAAAAAATAATTACTTAAAATTCAGAAATTCAATTTCTAATGCCCTGTTAGGTAATTTAAAATTTTAGACGTCGGTGCCCTAGCGCCAAAGGAATGAAGATATTATGTAGTGATTGGTTTTATAATACATTTCTTCTTCGAACCTGAAATTGGCTACGTGCGCATGTTTCTTTTCAAAGTGTCACTCTGTATGCATCCAAAATTATAAAAATTAGGTAAGACTTACGAATGTCATGCTCATATATTAATCTTTTGCATGATGGTATTGAATTATACGTGTTTACTTTACCTGAGAACATATGAAAACTGCATCAAGAACTTTTGAAAATCATTTTCTCTTGTTTCAATGGGTCAATTCGTATAATTTGCATCATGCTATACGGCGCCCTACTCGCTCACTTCAAGTAATCGGACTGTGGCCTTCTTGCCATTGGTTAAGGAGATCAGAAATGGGGCACGGGCTTAAGAATTGCTTCCAGTTCTGTCAGCAGTCTGAATAGTTCAGTTACTGACTTATTGTATTTTTGGTTCGTTCCATAGGAAGTACCTTTCCGATTGCAACAGGCCTTTGGTATGGCGGATGTCAAAGAAGTGAATTTTTTGACAGTCATTGTAGGTCTTATGTGGCACATTGAAGCGATTTAAAATCATTTTTAGTTTTGAATTCTTTGGCAAAGAAACTCTAATTGGATATAACTTTAAAGATTAAATAAATTCGTGGATTAGAGCCCTGAATGTTGTAGTCGGCTGTCATAGTCAGAACTCGTCAAAGAAAAAATCCAAAATCTGCAATAAGCTCTGAACCTTGTAGATTCATTGCATACGACTTCACCATACATTGAAATTATTCAATATTGCCTTTCAGGTTTTTGTCTTCATGTCCTACTTCTCCATACTTTCAGTGACTATGTCGTCCAATTTCGTGCGCGGAGTGTCGGAGATAGCCGAACTGTTAGTGGCGATCAAAAGATTACAGGAGTTTCTGCTCAATGACGAGTTTAGCGAGAAGAAAAGTATTACAAATAATAACGATTTGTCATTGGACGCCAAGCAACCTGCGTTGAAGTTAGTCAATGTTACATCAAAATGGAAATCGAATTTAGCGGAAAATACTTTAAAAAACGTAAATATATCGATCGCGGAGGGCGGCCTTTTAGGTGTCATTGGACCTGTGGGTAGTGGAAAGACTTCGCTTTTGTTGACAATATTAGGTATGTATCTCTTAATTTCATGTGTTTTTCATATACCTACTTGTGCTCATTCTATTCCCGGAAGTCAGGGTCATTGTGAGTGGATGTTTTTTCAAAAAGAAATTGAACCATCTCAGACACTTTGCTTGTAACCCTCCCCCCTATATTGTTACAATTGTAGATTGAGACTAACTTTCTTGCTCTGTTTTCCTCTGTAGGAGAACTAGATATACCCGAAGGACATGCGGAAGTCAATGGCCGAATATCCTACGCCTCCCAGGAACCGTGGGTTTTCGCGGCAACGGTCAGACAGAATATTCTATTCGGCCAATCGTATGACAAAGAGAGGTACAACGAGGTGGTGCACGTGTGCAGCCTGGAAAAAGATTTCAAACAGTTTCCCGACGGCGATCTAACGATCGTCGGCGAAAGAGGCGCGTCGTTAAGCGGCGGCCAAAAGGCCCGCATAAATTTGGCGCGTGCTGTTTATCGACACGCCGACATATATCTGTTGGACGATCCGCTGTCTGCAGTTGACACTCACGTTGGCAAGCATTTGTATCAGGAGTGCATACTCAAGTTTTTGGCGCATAAGACGAGAATTTTGGTCACCCATCAGGTGTATCATTTGGAAAACGCTGATAATGTTGTTATTATGAATAATGTAAGTAGGTATTTCGCTTTCAACTAATTTGTCAAAAATATACACACTATCAACTAAAATATTACCATTGGCCTTTTGCGCTCACTGTATCAGTGTGTGTTAGTATACCGTATAATTTACAGGGCTGCATACAAATAGAAGGAAAATATAGTGATTTGGCCTCGAGCGACAATAGCTATGCCAAACTTCTTTCCGTCGCGCAGGAGGTAATTGAGGAGGAGAAGAAACCTGAGCACATTCAGCTGACTAGACAAGTATCACGTGTAAGTATAATACTATTAATTTTGCATTGAATCTATTTTTGCAAAAATCTGTAAAAATAACTTTTGTATTGGCATTGAATAAGTACTTATTCAATTATATCTCTCATTGACAAAAGTAATGATCCCCTAATAAACTCTGCAACATAAGCAACCAACACGCGCTTATCATATGGGTAGCGTCGCTTTCTTGGGAAATACCTTAATTTCCAAGTTGCGCAATATATTCAAATGTTGGTTACGTGTGCTGTATCTGGCGATCGTTACTTTTGTCAATGACTGTACATTGCTACTCCACTTCTGTTTAGATCATAATATGAGGGGGGTTTAATGTAGGTATTGAGAATACATTTAATAACAGTATATAGGCATATACAGTGTGTCCCAGATCGCGTGGGATTGCATGGGCAACTTTCTTTTTATTAAAGATAGAGAATTAATTGGGTAAATGGGCAATGTTATGCAGTTTTAGTTATATCAACGGTTTTTATATATTAATTAAGTAGGCTGTGATGAATTAACAAAAAAACAAAACAAAATCTATTCGAGGCAACAAAACAATGAAAAAAATTACATCAGATGTTTAAAATACTGGCCATTATTAATGAAACACACCTCAAGACAGTTTACTTTAGGCAACGTGTTGCCATTGATGCTATAACACGCCTTTAGAACGGCTTCGCGCAGTTGTGTACGTTATTATTATTATTATTTAGTTGTGGGTACTTCCATATACTTTATTCTTTAATGTACAATGTACACAATTCGTGAATTGTGACCTGGGCAGCCAGCTCAATTGTTGGTAGGTACCATAAACCAACCCTTTCTGAAACATACTTTGTCTAGAAAATCCTTCAAGGAAGTTTATTGGAGAATTTGTAAATAATGGTGAGCAGTTAAAGTTCCATCGAAGATTACCGATCCAATTACATTACTTCCCATTATGTCTAGACAGTCTCTCCTGAAAATGTTCTTGAAGTTGACTTATATAGTCCAGTGGACAGGTTGGAAAAAGTACTGTTGGGTGGAAAAAGGTCAGAAGATAATGAAACGTTGATGTTTATGGATGATCATTTAACATTTTCTCAAGTGTTTGACCCTCTGCGAAAAGAGGAGGAGGGGTAAAACTGCAAAATTTTTGGCTCTCCTCCGGCTTTTCTTAAATACCTTTTTTCCCTTGCGTCTTACGGCAAAAGCTTTTCTATACTTTTTTGTACAGCGTTAAATTTTCAATGGATTTGACTATTTAAATATACATACACTACTGACTACAATGACCCAGTTACAAGACAAATGAATGATTAGTGCAAGACAAAAGTAAGTGAGGTACTTGATAGGGAGACGCCGGATTACCAAACGTGCCTTACTAACGAACTGCCGGATTATAAAGATTCTACTATAATTCTAAAAAATCTCAAAACTCATTTTGCGAAGCATAATTCTGGCGTTCCCGCGTATATAGACTCGGTGAACGGATTTAGGATTTGGTCTAGGGAGGGGCGCATACAATTGTTAAAGTGAATATATTAAAAAAAAACCTTTATTATACATATTATAAAAATAGAACATTTTTGTTATAATTCATAGTATATTGAACAAATAACTAATTCTTAATCAAATAATCAGAAAATGTCTAATGACAAAGTCAAGCTTTCTTTTAATGCGCAAATCGATTTTGTCCACTTTCCACGAAATTTGTCCAATAGGTATTCTTGCACGATTAGGGCATTGTGCGCGGGCACACCATCTTGTTGAAACAGTTTTCTTTTGTTTTCTTTTGTGCGCCATACATCGTTTTATTCGTAATAACAAATGCTACTCAATTTAATATCTCGCACAGTTTAGTATAAGTTTTAAGCAGCTGCTAATAGCAAAACAGTCTGCAGTAATTTTATAAAATTTGTATTATTATTTTATTATTTATTTCTTATATTTATAATTTCTATATCTTGCGTACATGTAAGTAAAAGGGGATATGTGAAAAACGGCACTACCGATCATAAACCCATTGAGCACGCGTCATAGTATGTATGTGTTCAATAAATATATTATTATTACTTTTTTTACGGGCCATATAAAAAAATAAAGTTGATAATGATTTCTCCGAAATGAAACTCCTGAACAGTGTCTTGTAAAATAAGTGGCAATTAGAAATTTTTTTTTTTATTTTGTATCTGTTCAAATAACATCAGGAAACAATAAAAACGAAATCGGCAACTTTCTTGTCTGTTTTTGACCATCTTTTATAGTTTCCCAAATCTCCATGATAGACATCCTTGTCTGGGACACAGTGTATAGCTGCACTTCATCCGGAAATTGCGCTAACGACAGGTTATCCATATTCATTTATTATTAGCGTTAAATGATCAATTAAAATGTTATCATTTGCGACAGCCTGAAGAGCATTAGGTATATTAACCTTTTTGTACCTGAGCGGAAATAATTTTTTGCCTTAAACTTTTCTTTCGTGGCTTTAATGGAAATTGTCCTTCCAGGTAATCCTTGCTCGGTGTCATTTTATGAAAATTATGGCGTTAAATTACCTAAAGGAGGTTATAACCGTCGGGGTTAGTCGGTTACCCCACCTCGGTTTCTGTGATCCATAATTTATGCACAGTCGTATATATTTGTGGGTGCCCCATGTTGGGCGCCAAATAAGAACGCTGTGTGCCCCACGTTAGGCGCCAATTAAGATCCTGCCAGACGAAATAAACACAGCAATATTGTAAGTCATTCAGTCACTGAATGTCGAGAGTTGCATATAGGTTGTTAGGTTTTTGATCGATTGTTAGTTGGTTTTTCGCACGGTAAATGCTGTTAAGTTTTAGTTTATTATGGTCGGAAAATATCACACAGAAAAGGACCTATGCGAGAACTCGCTGAGAACATTGGAAATTTCGATAGTGATTACGAATTAGAACCAATATTATGCACTCTAATCGCACTAAACATTTTAGAGGCAATTCAATGGTATACTCGCCAAAATCTTTCCAACGACAAATTCTGACACTTCGTTATCGAGATATTCATACTTACTTGAAATTTTCATCAGCATTTACGCTTGTTGATGTAGGGACTAAGGTGTAACAGGTGATCGCGTAGCCGTTTTCAAAAATTTTGGTTTGAATTTGTATTTTATTCGATATAAGACAATTTACACATATACCGCTTCATAGCGATCGTGATCAAAAGTATGTCTCATATAAAAGGCGATAACAACTTGTACGCTTTTAATAAAAGTGTCGTTTCGAGATAAGCGAAGAGAGGTCCTGAGTTGTACAGGGCGTTTTCGAGCAGACGAGATTAGACTTTCAAACAGTTGTACGTATACTGTGTGTGCATGTGAGAATTATACATTTTGCATAATTGCGATTTTTCGAAGCCCATTTCGTTAACGGAGGAGGAGCGCTAAAATTTTCGTTTTGTGAAAGTGTAAGATTTTACCAGCTTTATTTTGGGTGAAAGATTCTAAAAGAGAATGTTGCTTTTTCAAGGAGAGATAAGATCAATTTGTTACCAGAAGATGATATTTAAATTTGTTGTTTTGTACATTTTTAGTTTTGGTTGTTTATGTAAGGATTTTACCAGCTTTATTTTGAGTGAAAGATTCTAAACAAGAACGTTGTTTTTCAAGGAGAGATAAGATCAATTTGTTACCAGAAGAGGATATTTAAATTTTTTGTTTTGTATAGTAGTGGTTGGTTATTATTAGGAATTTGCATCAGAAATTTTGTTCGAAGTAATTTTGTATTCCTAAAGGAATCGACCTATGAAAATTGAAATTCAAAGTAGATCGATATGCCCATGCATGTTTATTGGAGTTCGAAATCAAACCAGCGCATTAAATTTTGAATTTAAGAGAAGATAAACGGCTAAACTTTCGCAAAGTAAGCGGTATGAAAAAAAATTTTTTTGCCAGTGCCGTAAAGATTCAATTTTATTTTATGCAAGTTAGGTCTTCGATCCTTGTAAAAGTAACTATAATAAGGGGATGGGATGGGAGTTGATAGAACACACATTGTACATGCGTTCTTTTAGTTTTTGGTTCACCAAATAAAATGTTGGACCTTTGTCTCAATCAAAACGGGCGATAAATACAAATTACAAATGCGTACAACCGATCTTAATAAAGAAGTGGAGGATGCCCTTTCATTAAAATATTATGAAGGAAAGAATCGTTCCCACTCCCACACCTTATCCAACTTGTCCAAACTTTGACTTTGAAATTAAGTACCATTTTCCCCATTACAGTGACATGGCTTTTTTCCTATTTTTATGCAGCTTTAGTCATGCTGAATGAGGGGCGGAAATTGTCGAATCCTACTATTTGCAAAAATCAGAACAATGTTCGATTTTGATTATAAGTACAATGTATGTTATGCTAAAAATATCTTGTTTTGTTTTAGTCGAGGAAGGCCTCCCTCTCACACGCCATAAGCGAAACCAGCGTCGTGGAAAGCCTGCTGGACGAAAGTGAGCACGAGTTTTCGTCCAACGATGTGCAGGAGGAATCGTCTCGAGGAAGAATCGAAGGTTCTCTACTTGCCCGATACTTACTAGCCGGAGGAAACCTGTTCGTAGTGATACTAGTGGGTTTGCTCTTCGTTCTAAGTCAAGTTGTCGCATGCGGCGTGGACTACTTCGTCACCTACTGGGTGAATATCGAGGAAGATAGGGCTAAGCGCAACGACACCTTTGACGCGGCACGCAATGACACAGTCACCGGCGATAGTTCACTGAGCCAAAACACCTGCTTGTACATTCATGGTGGTCTAATAATTGCCTTATTTTGTGTCGCGTTCACGCGCTCGATGAGTTTCTACAAGCTGGCGATGCGCAGCTCGCTGAATTTGCACAAGGCAATGTTTATGAATGTGATTTACACGACAATGCGGTTTTTCGATACAAATCCAAGCGGGAGAATTTTAAATCGTTTTTCCAAAGACGTAGGTACGGTTGATGAACTGTTGCCGAAAGTAATATTGGACTCGTCACAGGTAATCACTAAATCGCTTGTAACTTTCTCATGCGATTGTTGTAGCTGTTGCTGATAATGGTGGGGTCAATTACACTTGTGGCAGTTGTTAATGTATGGATGATAATTATGGTTGTAGTGATTGGGATTTTATTCTTCATACTCAGGATGATATTCCTGAAGTCTTCAAAGAATATCAAACGCTTGGAAGGGATTAGTAAGTTCAATTTCTTCGTTGTCAATTGTCATGTAATGTAGATTCATCATTTCAGCGCGTAGTCCCGCTTTTACACATCTAAATGCATCTTTACAAGGCCTCACTACCATCAGAGCGTTTGGCGCGCAACGTATCTTAATGCAGGAATTTGACAAGCACCAAGATCTACATACGAGCGCTTGGTACATGTACATTGCAGTAAGTTCGGCTTTCGGATTTATAATCGATATGCTCTGTTGGATATTTACAGTATTTGTAACGTTCGGTTTTCTATTACTGTCCGAGAGTAAGTAACGGTAATTGGCAACTATCACACGGTCTTAGTCCCCAATTTGTAGAAGTTCCCGGCGGAAATGTCGGTCTGGCGATCACACAAGCGATCGGACTGTCCGGCTACGTGCAGTGGGGCATGAGGCAGTCCACCGAAGTCTCGAACCAACTGACGTCTGTGGAAAGAATGGCGGAGTACGTTTCTCTAACGCCAGAAAAACAACCGGAGGTACCTGTACGCTTGAAGGACCGTGAATGGCCCAAGCACGGGAAGATTTCGTTTCAAAATATGGGACTGCGGTACTTTCAAGGGGGAGATCTAATGATCAAGGATTTAAATTTAACGATTCATCCCAAGGAAAAGGTTTGTGAATTTAATTAATTTTTAAATTGTGACAAAAAAAATCGTTTTTGAAATTTTTGAAAAATCTGAGTCTATCACCGCAATTGCTTGTTTTTTGGTGGTCGACATGACCTTTTTCTTTTGTGTAACAAAGTGCACTTCGTTTGAACAAACAGCTGAGGCGTTAGTTGAGAACGCGTGGAATTTTAATTGCCATCCATATTTTATTAATTTTTGGCAATTGGATTTATTAAATTGGGGATTCTGGAAACATTAGTGAGCGGATTCGCCTAAAAACTCCAATAGGGAGGATATAATTGCGTTTTTCTTTATCGTAAGCACGCCATTTGCATTTTCCGTAATTGAAGTGTACCTTTTCTTTAGGTTTCGGCTCATACCGGGTGATTCATTAGAAGTGTGTACAATTTGAATTTCCCGCAAATCAAAAAAATTATGAAGTTGGTACTAACTGATGATCATTTATTTAATTGCATCTCAGTTTATCAAACAAGAGGGATTCTCTTTTCTCTAGGGCTTCAATTTTGGGGTTTTAAGTTCTATTTTGATTGTCACCGGTTTGACAACCTAAAGTCACTAGATATAGAAAGTACCGCAATCATCCGCCATTTTTGGGCAAATTTGCTTGACAAAGAAAATCTGAATAGCTGTAATTTTTTATAACCTAACTTCATAGTACTGTCATGTTTTATAAAAATATATAAAGGGTACGTTCCACTTAACGCCCGCAACGACCACGACGCCCGGCAGCCGTTCCACATAACGACCATAGTCGTTATGGTCGCAATCGCGACGTCAGATATGACGCCATTACAAGCGACCGCAACGAGCCCACGGCGCTCGCCTATCGTACCTGGGTCAGCGTGGGCGTTCTAATTTTATAACCTTACATTCTTGACAGGAGACATTTCTAGAGACATTTAACTGTCAGACACTGATTGTTTGAACACGCATGCGTTACAAATTTTTCGTTTTCGCTATGGAGAAAATATACTTACGTGTTTCAGAACGTAACCTTGTGGTGGACATTACACTATGGATGTTCTACATGCACAAACTTGTAAGTATATATGCTGATTCCTGAATGTTAAAGTTATTTGTTAAGGAAAATTCTGCTTTAACACAATTTTCTTTATTGTAGACTAGTTTGCTGCAAAGTGCTTTACCAGGGATTGCGAATGAGACTCGTATAATGGTAATGCAACGATTGATGAAAATGAGAATGCACGTTAGTTTTGAATGAAGAAGAGAAATTGTTTTCGAAGCAGCATTTCCACAAGAAATTCTGGGGAGAAGTGTTCATTTTCATCGTATTAAGTATGGCCGCAGCATTTATGATAGAAATTCAAAAGTCGTCCTCAATATTTTATTAACAAGAAGCAATATCTTGTGTAAAGCGAAGAAGTATGGGCCAATAATTGGTACTGAAAAATAAAAAAATATTACTAACTGAATGTGACTTTTGAATTCATAATCCACCCCACTTTGTATCCTTTACGCATTACGATCTCCTCAACGGCGTCCATGTTGGAAAACTGTTCACTCACGTGTGACGTCACACCGTACTCAAAAGCGTTCCACTTAAGGTTTCGCCCACAACGCCTATAAGCTAGTGGAACGACCAAACCGCGGTCGCGGTCGTGATCGTTACGGGCGTTAAGTGGAACGTACCCAAAGATATCTCCAAACAGGTGTAACAATCCCTAACATTAAAGTTACTAGAATCTGGTAACTTCCGCCATTTTTGGGCAAAAATCATGCATTCTCTCTCTAACACACGAGCCCAATGGATTGCGGTACTTTCTATATTTAGTGACTTTATGACAACCCTTCCAATGGCTCTAGACGCAAACTTCCCCATTTTCCTTAAACGTTGGAAACAATATTGAGTTTACGAGAGAGACTCTAAATTTAGCAACAAATTTGAAGCACTGGTAATTTTGATCTTGTAATAATTTCTCTACCAATTAAAAACTACAGTCATTTTTGCCAAAACTAGAAGTAAGCAAAAACTAACGGATATTTGTTGTGGATTAATATTCCAAAACTAGCACCAGCTTTACGAACCTGTCTAATTTATGAATTCTATTTTAAAATGTAGACGACGATATCTTACTAAAATGTGTATCTTAGTAATTAGTAATAAATGAAGTTCTGTTTAATTAAAACACAAAAAAAAAACACTTTATAATGGTTGGTAGAGTTGGCGCTGCGAGTTGGAACACAAAATAAAAGCTTGAGATCTTCCACAACGGTAGTTCGTTCTGGGCTAACTTCTTTGCACTTACCAATGGGGTTGAGCACCACCCAATTTCTATCTGAACTCTCATCATATGAAATTGAGAATATACGAGTAGTGTAGTGTACTTAACCCCCAGGTTCTACGCTACCCACACTACAAGAACACGGAAATAAAATCAACCCGGTAGCGTTTAAAAATGGCCACCCTCCAAAACTAAACAGGGTTCCGCTTAAATTTGAAAAGTGTCACGTGATCAAACATCTAAGGCAGGGCCCCCTTACGTTATTGTAAACAACACTTTGACCTGTAGCACAGTAGGGAAGGAACGTAAAATAAAACACTGAAATTGTGAAAAGTTTGTTTAATAATGATCGCAATTATTATTGATTGTAAAAGCTCGGAAATTTAAGTCCAAAATAAATTACATTGCAAAAATGGTAGTTCACCGAATCAAAATTGAAATAGGCTGGGAAAAAAAGAACTTACCAATAAAAAAACCAGCCGTCAAATTAATATCAAATTGTGTTGTAAAATTAATTGTTTGTAATGATGTGAATGCGTAACATAAAATTATAGCATCACAAAAAGTAGCATGCAGACTTCAAGAGGTAACATATGCAGGTTAAAAACAAGTGTTGGGAATTATGGGTCAAGTAAGCAGGTACCCAGATTCTAAGAAAGGGTGAAATACACAGGATGTGAGTCATCTTTGGTGCAATAAAGTCCTTTTGTTAAATCAAGATGGAAAATTAATGGCTTTGTACGCAAATTTAACCCATTTATCGCACATAAATTGAAGAGCTTTGATTAGCGTAATTCCGCTCCTGCAAGATAGGTAACCCGCCCCTGGTTTCGGGGTTTCGAGTCTACAGTTGAATGTCGAAGACAATCACGGAATTAGGTAACTCAATTTTGACTACAGTTTTTACCGCCCCCGTGACTGCTTCATTCACGGAGAAAATTCTTAGTTACAAACAACAAGGCAGTACATACATCAAACGAATCGGTAATTTCACATATTAAAATAAAATGATCAAAACTTATGTATGAATGTAATGTAACTTCTCGGACAAGACCAAGTAATCAACACATAAACATAAATTAAGCAAACATTACACCAAAAACGTAAACGATTACAAACAAAATAGGTAGCTACTGAAGTTCACAAATTAATTGAATCTGTATATTAAATCTCCTTCATGACTCGTTGACCCATTTCACAGCAAAATGGCCGCTCATTATCAGCAGGTGGAGAGATATGTCAAAGGTCAGCACTCACAGGTATCTGTGAATTAATCCAAGGTTACAAACTTGTACATATGTAATGTAACGTAATTTACACTGGCACTGGCACTTTAAAAATTAGATCGGAGCTAAAATCTCGAACTAAAACTTGAACCCTAAAAGAAATCAAAGGTAACCAACTTCCTTGATAACCTAAAATTTACATAGTTCTTAAATAAGAAGGTTAATCATAGAGGAAGAGCAATAAATTGTATTACACAAATTACAGCCGAATCTAAAGAAAGGTACACTTCCTTCAAATACACGAAATCCAAATGGCGGTACTTACGATAAGAAAGAAAAACCGCAATTAAAATCCTCACTATAGGAGTTGTAGGGGAATCCGTCCTAGATAATCCCCAATTTAATGAATCCAATCGCCCGAGATTTAGTGTAAAATTTATATACACTCATGTGCAATAAAAAGTTTCCAACTAATCCTTGCAAGAGGGCAGACACAAAAAATGTGCTTTCATTATTTTAGTGTAGTATTACTTATTTCACAAGCCTTGAAAAAGGAGTGCGTGGGTATATTTATTCCCAGAAAACTATAGTAAACTTCGACTATCTCCAACGACAGCTGTTGTATAATCTTCTGCACTCATCAGGAGAAGAAAACAAGATAACAATGAGAAGAATTACAAAAATTAAGTTAAATCACATAACCAAACACATACCAAAAACCAAAAAAAAACAGAAAATAGTATTGTAATAGAAAAATAACAGGTGTAAAATAGACCATATTCATCGCACTGTTCTTCCATATGGCCATAAAACCGTCGTATTAAAATCCCATATGCAAATACTTCTATGTTAATGAGAGGGCGTAGAAACCAATTAATGCGAATAACGATGCTAATTAACCATCAAAATCTTGCTGAGTCAGTATTTAATTAGTAACGTCAAAGACCCACGCATCTTGATTCATGCGGAAAATTCTCCCAAACATTTTGTGTGCTGTTTCACGCGCCGTTTTGGTTGCATCACACAAAAAGAACATTATAACTAGTCACTTCTTACAGATTGGAATAGTTGGGCGCACAGGTGCCGGCAAATCATCTATAATTTCCGCGCTGTTCCGTCTAGCGATAGTCGAAGGAACAATCGAAATCGACGGCATCGACACGAAAGATTTAGTACTGCAAGAGATGAGATCGAAAATATCAATCATTCCCCAAGATCCGATCTTATTTTCGGGCAGCCTGAGATACAATTTGGACCCGTTTTCGGAATATCCAGACGAGGTTCTGTATAAAGCCATACACGAGGTAAGTAAGCGACTTAAATGCGCGAGGAGGCACGTTAACAAGTATCTTAGGTCGAGTTAAAGGATCCGACAAATACCATCAACAGATTGGAATACGCAGTGATGGACGGAGGTTCGAATTATAGCGTCGGGCAGCGGCAGTTAATCTGTTTGGCACGCGCGCTCGTGAGAAATAACAAAATTTTAATGCTGGATGAGGCCACTGCAAACGTTGATCCACAGTAAGTGGTCCACCCATTGTAAATTAATCAACAATTTAACGCTTACCCTTACAGAACTGATGCGATCATTCAAAAAACAATAAGGGAGAAGTTTTCCGAATGCACCGTGCTAACAATTGCACACCGACTTAACACAATTATGGATTCCAGTAAAGTATTAGTGATGGATTCGGGCAGAATGGTGGAGTTTAATCATCCGCACTTACTGCTACAAAACCACAAGGGCGCTTTTTACAAGATGGTTTTCGAAACCGGTAAGGGAACTGCAGAACAATTGAAGAAAATTGCGAGACAAAATTATGAACAGCAACTAGTGCTTCCAGAAGGCGATTAAGTGTAGGCACTAAACGTGTCGACATGAAAAAATTGTGATTATGCTCAAAAAAGACTTGTGCTAATAGTATAATTAAAGACTACTTAATTAGATAATATTAGTAAGTAAATAATGAATTTTATATAGTAGATAGGTGTACTAATTGACTGTTACTAATAACCCATTGCAAACATAGCCAAAGTTCTGATTTGTGTAAAAATTAATAATCTCTATGTTAGGATTTCTAATTTACAAATTTGTATCTCGAAAAGTGCTCTATTTTTAAATAAATACGATTTGAATGGACATTGTATTGTGAATAGGACTCTTTTACACTGTCAGATTCCGGCGGACAAGTCGAGACATTATACTACAACTGCTTTACAGATCTTGCAAGATTGCGTACATTTTGTACTGCCATTTAAGGAAAATTAAGTGCAACGAGGATATTAATAGCATAAATTCAAATATAATTTCGAAAGAAGTTATGTAAGTGGCGACATCTCAACTAAACTTGTGACACTATGAAATGTAAGAAAGTGTATCGATTAACAGGGAGATGGCGCACTTGTACTTATTGTATTTAAACTAACTATTCAAAAACCGGGCCATTAAACTACAATTGCTCTACAGATCTTGTAAGACTCCGTACGTTCTGAACTGCCATTCAAGGAAAATTAAGTGCGACGTGGCTATTAATGGCATAAATTCAAATATAATTTCGAAAAAAGTTACGTAAGTGGCGACATCTCAACTAAACTTGTAAAACTATAAAATGAAGAAAGTGTATCGATTAACAAGGAGATGGTGCACTTGTACGTATTTTATTGAAACTAAGGCCAGTGGCAGACGAGCGAATTTTAAACGGACGTCACGACGTGCGTTATTTTGAACAGGTTGTTTTTGTCATAGTCACACACCAGCGTTCAGTTGACGAGTTAGATGTTGCCATATTTTTGTATTTGTCTTTGAAATTAATTTTAAAAAACGCAAACGGTGGATGCATCCTATAAATAATGCAAAACTTTCACACAGGCTGCTTTTATACCCTGTACCCTGCACCTTGTATGTTATTTTGATTTTTACCAAAAATCGACTGCACCAAAATTTCTCGGGAGAAAACCTTTTCTAATTAATTTTGGTGCGTAGAATCCAAAACGATTCGTACTTTTTCGATTAGACGTCTTAATCAAAAGTTATGGGCAAAAAACGAATTTCGACAAAAAATTATTCAAAGGGCTATAACTTTTGATCTACACCTTTTCCACTTTTATTCGAGAAACTATAAAGTTAATTTGAGAAAGTGTCAATTGTATTTGAGAATAGTAAAATGTATTTGAGAAAACAACAAATGTAGTTCAGAATAGTGATTTGTATTTGAGAAGGCATCAAATGACTTTGAGAGTACTAAATTGTATTCAAGAAATGGTAAAATGTATTTGAGAAGATATCAATTGAAAATGAGAAAAACAAAATCACATGTATAACATAGCCTGATGCTTGATTCTTAATATTACATTCTGAAATACAATTAACGACTTTTTAAAATTAAATGATACTTTCTCAAATACAATTGACTATTCTCAACTACATTTGTTGTTTTCTCAAATCCAACTGACTATTCTCATCTACTTTGATGTTTTCTCAAATACAAGTAACAATTCTCAAATACAATTTACAACTTCTCGAATAAAAGTGGAAAAGGTGTAGTAGCCTGATCTTGGAACTGTTTGAAATTATGGATTCTACAGGCCACATTCTATAAGAAAATATTTTTTTCCGGTCGATCTGAGACAATTTTTTTCTTCGAGCCAAAAAAAAGGCAGTGTACAACCTTCCTTTTTTACCAAAAATCGACTGCACCAAAATTTCTCGGGAAAAAACTTTTTCCAATTAATTTTGGTGCGTAGAATCCAAAACGATTCGTACTTTTTCGATTAGACGTCTCAATCAAAAGTTATGGGCAAAAAACCAATTTCGACAAAAAAATTCAAAGGGCTGTAACTTTTGATCTAGTAGCCCGATCTTGGAACTGTTTGAAATTATGGATTCTACAGGCCACATTCTATAAGAAAATATTTTTTTCCGTTCGATCTGAGACAATTTTTTTTCGACCCAAAAAAAAAGGCAGTGTACAACCTTCCTTTTTTACCAAAAATCGACTGCACCAAAATTTCTCGGGAAAAAACTTTTTCCAATTAATTTTGGTGCGTAGAATCCAAAACGATTCGTACTTTTTCGATTAGACGTCTCAAGAAAAAGTTATGGGCAAAAAACCAATTTCGACAAAAAATTCAAAGGGCTGTAACTTTTGATCTAGTAGCCCGATCTTGGAACTGTTTGAAATTATGGATTCTACAGGCCACATTCTATAAGAAAATATTTTTTTCCGGTCGATCTGAGACAATTTTTTTCTTCGAGCCAAAAAAAAGGCAGTGTATAACCTTCCTTTTTTACCAAAAATCGACTGCACCAAAATTTCTCGGGAAAAACTTTTTCCTATTAATTTTGGTGCGTAGAATCCAAAACGATTCGTACTTTTTCGATTAGACGTCTCAATCAAAAGTAATGGGCAAAAAACGAATTTCGACAAAAAATTATTCAAAGGGCTGTAACTTTTGATCTAGTAGCCCGATCTTGGAACTGTTTGAAATTATGGATTCTACAGGCCACATTCTATAAGAAAATATTTTTTTCCGGGTCGATCTGGGACAATTTTTTTTTCGGGCCTCAAAAAAAGACAGTGTATATACACTTCCTTTTTTACCAAAAATCGACTGCACCAAAATTTCTCGGGAAAAAACTTTTTCCAATTAATTTTGGTGCGTAGAATCCAAAACGATTCGTACTTTTTCGATCAGACTTCCCAAAAAAAAGTTAAGGACTAGAAACCAATTTCGATAGAAAATTCAACTGTAACTTTTGATCTTATGTCCTAATAATCATCATACTATAAGCAGTTTTGGATTGTACGGGATAATGTTTATAAGAATAAGTCTTTTCCCAGTCAACCTAATTGATAGGCAAGATCCATTATACAAACTGTTCGTCCCCTATTCTAGGATACATACTTACCTATTAAAAATATACCTACTTACCTATGATATTGCTCAATTTTAAATTGCAGAAGGTCTCGGGCAGTAGCTACCTAATCTTATGGAATCCAAACCGATGTGAAGAATTCATACAGAGCAACGTGTTTGGAGAAAGCTTCTATTCGTTTGCTGATCAACCCGAACACTGTCGGGAAAGTACCAAAACCATTTAGGTAGGATAATGAAACATTGCGTACACGTTTATTGAATAATCTTATTGTTGCAGATATGAGCACCGTTTCACCACATCGAATTCGATTACCTACGATCCAGCCATCAACGAGGAACACATTATCTTATAGTTGCAATTTAGTAGTCAATCTAACTAGATGTCTTGATGCGCTTCACTATAGTAACCTCTGATAAGTTCATTCGCTTGCAATTTTTATTTGTGCAGCTGTTTGGGGGTCATAGGAAACAAAACAAAATTGGTGACAAAAGATCAAGGTATTTATTTTGTCAACGCATCATGGTTACAATAAGAACTTCTTTATAAATTAATAATAAATAAATAATAAATTTATTGCCTAATAGCAAAAGCCTATAGGACAACTTAACAATATATATAATAATAACAGTAAGTAGGTAATATATAATTTTTCTTTAGAATAAGTACAATAAACAATTTCGCGTGTGCACTTTGATGATTACGCTACACAGCCTCTGTCTAAGAACTAATTGTGAAACAAAATCCATAACAAAACTAGAGAAAATCCGTCTGAAAGTCAGCGTGAAAAATATTCAAAAAATTCAAAATACCTTTCTTAAATTTTTTTAAAATGTTTGAAAAATAAAAAAAGATTAAAAACATTTTTTTTGAAATTTTGAATCTTTTTAATTCTTGTACGCGTGCGAATTAACTGATTGAACTTGAAACTAACTGTTGTATGGTTTCCAGATTTTATGGCCATGGTTTCTGTACTGCACCTGTCTTCGATAGAGAAGAGGCCCTAGAACAAGAAAAATTTATTGTAATATGCCACTTTATAAATTGTGATTTAAGATCTTTGTTAATAAATTAACTCACTGTCAGAGCTGTATTTATTTCGGCGTAACACAGGACCATAACAGAATTTCCAATGTGGGGGTGGCAAGCCTCCATCTCCAGAAAATCGTTGACAATCACAGTGACTTAGGTATCTAAAAAAATTCATGAGACACAATAGAGATGGAAGTATTTGACGTACTCCTGCATTTCGTTCCAGAGTGGTATAGGCTAGCTCCATTTTCAATAGGGGGGGGGGGATCACACATGAAAATCTGATAACCTTTTTTAACAACTGGAAGGTGGCAGGTGTGGTGATCAATCAACGGCCAAACTCCTCTATCTCCAGAAAATCGTTGACAGGAAGTGAATTACCTAAAAAAAAATTCATCAGGAGCAACAAAGGTAGAAGTCTTTGACGTACCCCCGTATTCAGTTCCATGGGGATCACACAGAAGTGAATTGACTCTAAATGATCCATCAGAAGTACCCATGTATTATGTTCAAAGCTTTGTTCGCAGGTCCTAGCGTGGATATTTACAAATGTATAGTAGGTTGGGTTAGTAGAGAGTCCTTAGCTGAAACCCTGCCCACTCAAAAATAAAACAAGTGATTAATTGGAATAGAGAATGAACATATACATGACCCAACTGTGGTACGAAGGGTCCCTGGTTCGAGCACGGATATTTGTAAATGTACAGTGGGTTGCTTTGGTAGAGTAGTCTTGGCTGAAGCCCCGCCCACTTAAAAATAAAGACCAAAAATAACCATTGATATAGCTGCACAATTCAAAAATAAAAAATTTATTTTAAGTAAATGCACAAAACACTCTTAAGCTAAATGGGAGAGGTCATCTATAGCCACTTCTTGCTTGATCTTTTGACTCTGCGGTACAAAGTTTGTTAAAAGAGAGAGCTCATCCATTGAGACCTCTTGCTTGACTTTTTGATTCTGCTGTATAAAATTCGGTTTGGGAACCACGGCGAACTGCGGCTGGCTTTGCATCGGACTGATCCCGGGACTTACAATTTGCCCCCCCTGCAAGCTACTCGACACTTGCGTATTTTGACTTATAACGGTGGAATTGGTCGACCCCGAGTTCGGCATGCACACCACCACCAGTTTCTGAGGCGCGCCGACCACCTTCGGCTGGGGATTCGGCGAGTTCATGATTTTCACGACGGTGTTTTGCTGCGGTTGCGCGGTCGGCTGCGCCGCTCCTTGCG